CCACTTAGCGCCTGTTCCAAGCTGGCTCTTTTAGAGTCCTTAGCTCTCACATTACCAGCAATGCTGGATGGTCCCACCCTCTCGGCTCCAGGCACTGAACGTGCAGTCGGTGCCAGTGCAGTTTGCCTGATCGCGGAACAGTACTTCTTGGCCAATTCCTGCGTTTGGGATGTAGTTGGGGGCGTAGTTACTCACTTTTTAGACACATTTTTAGCAGGCAGATCAGAAGTCTGAGCAGAGGAGAGACCTTGGTCAGAAGCATGGTTGGTGAGGCTTGTCCGGGGGGTGGTCTGGGCTTCAGGCTCAGACACTGGTCTGAGAGACTTCTCCATGAGAAGGAGTTTGAGTTTCAAGTCTCTAACCTTTCTTGTTCAGGTAGTTAATTTGCGGCAATGAGGACACCTCCTGTACTGAGTATGTCCATCCAAAACGGGTATTGAGAGTCTGCAAGTGAGGCAACGTTTAAAGCCCAGGGAACCCGGGATAGCTCAGTGGTTTGAGCATTGGCCTGCTAAACCCAGGGTTGTGAGTTCAATCCTCGAGGGGGCCGTTTAGGGATCAGGGGATTGGTCCTGCTTTGAGAAGGGGGTTGGACTAGACTTCCTGAGGTCCCTTCCAACCCTGAGATTCTGTGATTCCTGTCAGGGAAGGCATTGTCCTCAGGAAGGCTGACTATCTTAAAGGGCTAACTGAAAACTAACTTGACTGGTAAGAAAAATATATTTTGTTTTTAAAAGGAGGCGATGGAGTAGAATCAACTATCTATCTAAACTAATTACTGTAGTAAATGGGCTAAAGAACTAAGTAGCGAGGCACTTCTAAGTGCTCCGACTCATAGCAAGGGTGGGAGAGAAGGAACTGGGAGGGGGTTGGTCACACAGCGCCAGTTAACCGCCTGAGGCGGCGTGAGACGGGGACTGCACCTGTATCACATAATTGGGCACTGCTACCAAAACTCTCGAATTATGAGCACAGGGGCACACAAAAACCTAATGTGGAGCACCCATGGGGACAGCACTCGAAGAACAACATAAAAATATAAACACTTAGGTGGATTAATTTCAGAAACAAGCCTGTATGTTAAAAGGTAATTTTTCACCATTTCTTAGGAATGAAACATTTTCTTGCCAACATTATAACAAGTAGCAAAGTAGATGCAAGTCTGACAGATACACAACTGAAACAGTTATACTCAGAGCTCGAGTGGACTAGCAACTAAGCTATTTTCAATTGCAAGTTCAAAATGACCCAATGCTAACAGTAGTTACCAGTAATTTATCAGTTATCTAGTGCAGGGGTTCTCAACCTTTTTCTCTCTGAGGCCCGCCTCGACATGCTATAAAAAATCCAGGGCCCAGCAGGGGCAGGGCCGTGGATATAGGCGTAGTTTGACTTCTATTGTGGGGGGCCAGTGGGGCTCAATCCACCTCCGCATGGCACTCCCTCCCTGGACCCCACCACCTCCACCCCCTGACTCACTTCAGCAGGCCACCAAGCCTATCTGGGTTGGGGAGGGGCATGCAATCAAAAATTATAACTCAAAGGTGGGGGGCTTTACTCAAAAAGTTTGAAAACAGCTTAGGGTTCAGGGAGGAGGTTGCTAGGGGCTGTGTGAGGACAGGAGGTAGCTCAGGGTGGAGGCAGGTAGTCACTAGGGGCTGTGTACAGACAGGGGTAGCTGAACTTACAGGGAGGGGTAGCTGGGGCTGTGTGCGGGCAGAGGGGTAACTCAGGATGCAGGGAGAGGATACTAGGGGCTGTGTGTGGGTGAGAGTAGCTCAGGGTGCAGGGAGGAAGTAGCTCAGGGTGTAGGGAGAGTTGTGTTAGGGGGCTGTGTGCTGGGAGGACTCCCCTGCGGTCCCTGTTCCCGAAGGGGTCTGCCAGCCTCAGAGCCAGGTCTCCCCACCCGGGGGGCTATTATCGGCTGCCTCTGCAGGAGCAAAGGGGGCTGGGAGCTGAGGAACAGCTTCAACCTGGGGCACCAGCGGAAGAGAAGGAATGCTGCTGCTGCCTGCTCCATGGCAACAGCCAGAGCAGCAGCTGCCCCGCACTGCCTGGCTCCGGCTTCCCCCCTCTGACCTGGCCAGAGGGCGGGTGTGGGGAGGAGAGGAAAGTATGGAGCTGCCCCTGGGACTGCCGTGTTCTTACGCTACAGCTGGGGGGAGGGCAATACCCTCCATGTCCCCAACTCTACCCATTCGCTCAGGGCTTCTGCCCCACAGGGAGCACCAGGGCTTGGGGCTCTGGGCTTCAGCCGCGGCCCCCTTGAAAGGGCTTGCGGACCCTCTGGGGGCTGCGGACACTTGGTAGAGAACCACTGATCTAGTGTAGATAGGACATCAGGATATACACTTGCCAGGGTACCGAAGAGCAGTTCTGTCAGCTTTCAGAGGGACCAGGCCAATGATTTTGAAGATGTGACAGAAGATATTCTGAGAACATCTCAATAGATAAGAGTTTTCCCTTTTTGTAGCCAATAAAGATGTACAGCTTGCAATGTTCAATCTAATTTAAATGTCAGTCTCATCCTAGTTGTTGATATTGCAATTATAAAATTTCCAAAACATTCTCGATAAATAGCTAAGAAAAATAACCACAGATGAAGAGAATATCAATTTAATGTCACTGCCACAAAAACTTACATTATCTAATAAGCAATGTCAATTGTTCATAAGTTATCTTCTAGGATGCTAGAATATGATAAATAACAGCATCCAAGCTCAATAAATCATCACTATTTCCCATTTTCATTTCCTTTTGATGGTGAAAATACTAAATATAGATGTAATCTAAAAAGTCTCAAACGATCTACCAGAACTATGCATATGTGCAAAGTGAATCTGAGAAAAATATCAATTGTGGGTGCCAAAAGTTACTTCAATTATGACAAATTTAATAGCGTCTACCAATAATAGCCTATTTTTATTAATTGTGTTGTATTCCCTCCCTCTCCTGCCATCTCCTCCTATATAGAATCACAGAATCATAGAACTGGAAGGACCTTGAGAGGTCATCTAGTCCAGTCCCCTGCACTCATGGCAGGACTAAGTATTATCTAGACCATTCCTGACAGGTGTTTGTCTAACCTGCTCTTAAAAGTCTCCAGTTATGGGAATTCCACAACCTCCTTAGGCAATTTATTCCAGTGCTTAACCACCCTGACAGTTAGGAAGTTTTTCCTAATGTCCAACCTAAACCACCCTTGTTGCAGTTTAAGTCCATTGCTTCTTGTCCTATCCTCAGAAGCAAATGTGAAATGTTTTTCTCCCTACTCCTTGTAACAACCTTTTATGTACTTGAAAACTGTTATGTCCCTTCTCAGTCTTCTCTTCTCCAGACTAAATGAACCCAATTTTTTCAATCTTCCCGCACAGATCGTGTTTTCTAGACCTTTCATTATTTTTGTTGCTCTTCTCTGGACCTTCTCCAATTTGTCCATATCTTTCCTGAAATGTGGTGCTCAGAACTGGACACAATACTCCAGCTGAGGTCTAATCAGCATGGAGTAGAGTGGAAGAATAACTTATCGTGTCTTATTACAAAATTCCTGCCTATACATCCCATAATTTTTTTTTCCTTGCAACAGTGTTACACTGTTCACTTGTACTTAGCTTGTAATCCACTCTGATCCCTAGATCCCTTTCTGAAATACTCCCTCCCAGGCAGTCATTTCCCATTTTGTATGTATGCAACTGACTTTGCATTTGTCCTTATTTAATTTCATCCTATTTACTTCAGACCATTTCTCTAGTTTGTCCAGATCATTTTGAATTTTAATGCTATCCTCCAAAGCACTTGCAACCCTTCCCATCTTGGTATCATCTGCAAACTTTATAAGTGTACTCTCTATGTCATTATTTAAATCACTGAAGATATTGAACAGACCCCGACCCAGAACTGATCCCTGTGGGACCCCACTTGATATGCCCTTCCTGCTTGACTGTGAACCATTGATAATTACTCTCTGGGAATGGTTTTCTAACCAGGTATGCACCCACCTTATAGTAGCTCCATCTAGGTTGTATTTTCCTAGTTTGTTTATGAGAAGGTCATGCCTTCATGAAGTATCAAAGCCTTACTAAAGTCACGGTATACCACATCTACCACTTCCCCACTATTCACAAGGCTTGTTTCCCTGTCAAAGAAAGCTGTTAGGTTGGTTTGACAGAATTTGTTCTTGACAAATCCATGCTGACCGTTAATTATCACCTTATTATCTTCTAGGTGTTTGAAACTGATTGCTTAATTACTTGCTCCATTATCTTTCCAGGTATTGAAGTTAAGCTGACTCATCTAATTCCCCAGATTGTCCTTATTTCCTTTTTTTATAGATGGGCATTATATTTGCCCTTTTCCAGTTCTCAGGAATCTCTCCAGTCTTTCATTACTTTTCAAAGATGATTGCTAATGGCGCAGATATTTCTTCTGTCAGCTTCTTGAGTATTCTAGGATTATTCATCAAGCCCTGGTGACTTGAAGACATCTAACTTATCTAAGTAATTTTAAACTTGTTCTTTCCCTGTTTTAGCCTGTGATCCTACCTTATTTTCACTGGCATTCACTATGGTTGACACTGAATCGCTACTAACCTTTTTGATGAAAACAAACAAAAAAGTCATTAAACACTTCTGTCATTTCCATATTTTCAGTTATTGTTTTACCCCCTCATTGTGTAACAGGCCTAGCCAGAAATGTAGAAATGAGGGCTCAAAGGGACCTTGAGAAATCACCCAGTTCAGCCCCTGTGCTGTGGCACAACCAAGTAAACCTACATCATCCCTGACAGGTGTTTGTCTAACCTGTTTTTAAAAACTTCCAATGATGGGATTCCATAACCTCCTTTGGAAACCTACTCCAAAGCTTAACTACCCTTATAATTAGAAAGTTTTTCCTAATATGTAACGTAAATCTCCCTTTCTGCAGATAAAGCCCATTACTTCTCGTCCTAACTTCACACCCCAGAATGATATCACCCTTTATTGCAGCCAACAATTACTTACCAGTACCGGAACTTTGAACCCAAAGTAAAATAATGTGCAAAAAAGTTCTTCTGAGGCGGCAGTGGTCTGTCCAATCGGAAGAATGTATGATGCTCAACACAAGCTTTCCACAAATTCTTACATGCTCGGTAATTCACCATATTGAATCCCAGTAACATTTCTCTAGATTCATGCTAAAAAAGAAAAGTATAATTTGATTTTAGAAAAATTATGCTGCTTCCTTACCATGTTTAGGAAATGTATTTAAGATTATAATTGTTCATTGATACCAATTATATTTTCCAAACCAGTACAACGCATTCTATTTCAGAGTATGTTTGAAGTGCCACTCTAACCACCCCAAGTTTACACATTTTAAAGCCTTCTATGAATAAGTCCAACAGTGTGTGTTTTAAGTTTTTTTCTCTTTAATGATCCTGCTCTCAGTTCAGCAACAGGGTCTCCCCAGGTGTCCAGTGAGCCTGAAGGAATTCTCAGCTGGGGAGAAGATGTTGCTACCGATAGACCAACTCCCAGCTATTATGCTCGGGTGCTGTGACAGAGGAAAGAAATCCCAAAAACCTTGCCTCCCTGTTCCAAGACTCCAACAAGAGTGAGGAAGAGAAAATAGTCTGCAGAAGAGAAAAATGAGGGGGGATTTGATAGCAGCCTTCAACTACCTGAAGGGGGGTTCCAAAGAGGATGGAGCTAGGCTGTTGTCAGTGGTGGCAGATGACAGAACAAGGAGCAAAGGTCTCAAGTTGCAGTGGGGGAAGTCTAGGTTGGATATTAGGAAACACTATTTCACTAGGAGGGTGGTGAAGCACTGGAATGGGTTACTTAGGGAGGTGGGGGAATCTCCATCCTTAGAGGCTTTTAAGGTCAGGCTTGACAAAGCCCTGGCTGGGATGATTTAGTTGGTTTTGGTCCTGCTTTGAGCACGGGATTGGACTAGATGACCTCCTGGGTCTCTTCCAACCCTAATCTTCTATGAGTCTATGATAAGAGAGTAAGCCTTAGCCCTAATGGTTTAGAGGAGGAGAGGAAGCAAGCTGGCAAGCATGCACACATGAGAGTTAAATGATGGAAAGACGGTACAGCCATTGTTGATAAACTCAAGGACAGCTGAGATATTGTTGTATCAACCAGGCAAGGTACTAACAAGCTTCAACAGGACTTTATTTTCAAACATCTAAACACCACAGATATTCAACTCTGTGCAATAAATACCTTTATCGTGCTTACTAGTAGGAAGAGCAGAGCAAGGGTAGCAGATGCTGGAAAAGCTGGCAATTGAGGGCGTTTGTTATTAGCCATGGTAGTTAACAAGATACAACCAATGTTAACTTGGCGCTCTCTCAAGCAGAAGGTTGCATTTAGTACATTTCACCTGCTTTTGTTTACTAGTTGCAGCATCCTCCTTGGAAGATACTTGCTTGCTGGCTAGTTCCCCCACCAAGCAACTGAGACTCATCCCTCCTTTACCCTTCTTGGAATATTGGAACAGTTTCATCATGCAGAGGGAAATTACTGTATGGGACAGAACAAGCAAGGGGCCCAACAGTATGTAGTACTCACTGAAGTCCCACATGTGGAGAGCTTACACAATTGGGCCGAAGAGCTGCAAGTGTAAACATTTTCAAAAGAAGCTAGAGGAAAGAAACCATTCCATAGTATGAACTAACTGCATAAATGGACAGACTTTGTAGGGTTCATGACAACCAATTTCATCCATGAACATGCTATGCACAAGTCAAAGTATACTTTGACACGATCTTGAAAAATCTGAAGTCGAATTTGTAACAATTGGAGTTTTAACAGAGAAAATGCATTCCCTGCTCAGTCATCACAACTTTGTTTCAATTAATTATTTAAACACAGATAAAGGGCTTGTCTACATAGCATGGCAAAACGCTCCAGAGGGGAGTGATTTATACAGCACACTAACATGCTGTGCTCTAACTGCCCTGTGTAAATCCTGCTGGGGCATTCTAAAAGGTACCATAGGATTATAGTCAGGTCTACACTACTGCTTTCAGAGTAACAGCTGTGTTAGTCTGTATTCGCAAAAAGAAAATGAGGACTTGTGGCATCTCAGAGACTAACCAATTTATGTGAGCATAAGCTTTCTTGAGCTACAGTTCACTTCATTGGATGCATACTGTGGAAAATACAGAAGATGTTTGTTTTTATACACACAAATCATGAAAAAAATGGGTGTTTATCACTACAAAAGGTTTTCTCTCCCCCCACCCCACTCTCCTGCTGGTAATAGCTTATGTAAAGTGATCACTCTCCTTACAATGTGTATGATAATCAAGGTGGGCAATTTCCAGCACAAATCCAGGTTTTCTCCCCCCCCAAACAAACCCACTCTCCTGTTGGTAATAGCTTATCTAAAGTGATCACTCTCCTTACAATGTGTATGATAATCAAGGTGGGCAATTTCCAGCACAAATCCAGGTTTTCTCCCCCCCCAAACAAACCCACTCTCCTGTTGGTAATAGCTTATCTAAAGTGATCACTCTCCTTACAATGTGTATGATAATCAAGGTGGGCCATTTCCAGCACAAATCCAGGTTTTCTTAAGTTGATCTAATTTGCATTGCTCACTGGTGTGAAAAAGACACTCCCTGAGCGACACAAGTTATAGCGACTTAAGCGCTTTCTACACCAGCGCTATGTCGGCAGGAGACACTCTGCCAACAACATAGCTTCCACCTCTCTCAGAGGTGCAGTAATTATACCGATGGGAGACCGCTCTCCTGATGTCACAGAGTGACTTCATCAGATACGCTACAGCAGCGCAGCTGCATCGTTGCAGCTGTGCCCATGTAGCACTTCTAGTGTAGACCGGCGCCGTGTAAAAGAGAACTAGATAACTTTTAGAGTGCGTCAGCAGGATCTACATGGGGCAGTTAGAGCACGGCAAATTAGAACATTTTACGAACACTCCTTTAGTGGGCTTTGCCAGCACCACGTAGACTTAAAACCCATAATTTTTTAAAAGCAGGTGAACTATTCTTTACTTATGCTGACACCTCACGACACTGCCAAATTAGAGAATAAATCTCTCTCTTAAATAATTAACGGATGATGTACTTGCCTTTTTGAGGACTGTTGTCATTAAAACCTTTAATATTTATAAGTATTTTTAAAATATGTATATAACTTTTTTTCACTTTTACGACTAATTTACTATCATACAGCACCACATAGTTAGCCTCAATTACAGCTACTCAACTCCTGTGTTATTTGTACATTTAAACATAACTGAGAAATATGCCAAACACAGTATTATTTGCATTTTTGTTGTTTTTTCAGGCACCCAGAGTACTGGCTGACAAATTTTTATAAATCCAAATAAATAAGTGTCCACTCAGAGACTAAGTCCTGATTTATTGTAGGAATAATAGTTTGAATAAGATTTTTGGTAGTTTGGGTAGTCAACAGCATTTCTAGGTTTGACTAAACGTTAGTTTTAATTAGATGACATTTAAAAGAATTAAATATGAGTTTGCCATTTATTTGGCTATTCATGTCTGAGATCTCCAAGGAATGAAAATGAAGCCCTTGCTGTCTGTGTGCAACCGCTAAGCAGAGCATAAAAGGATGAGGATAATTTGTTGATATAGACAAGGTGACTTGTGTGAGAAATTGAAGAAATTCTTTAGCATTTAGTACATTCTGCTAGAAGTAGCAAGATACCTTCCTTGTATATGGAAGTTTGGAAAATATAAAAAAGATATGGAAGTTATATTTGTGCCAATCTCATTATCCTGCTGGGATCCAGTAAACACTAATCAAAAACATTCACTCAAAAAAAAAAATCACAATAAGAGAAATTTAAGGGTTTGCAAGATCTTTTTCCTGAAGCCTTGGCAGAACAGTATTTCTCTCAACTATTTTCTAGAGAAGTAATAATTCACTGTGTCCCAAATTTAGAACATTTTCTACGTTTAATTGTTTGGGGCCAGACCTTTAGCTTGTTAAGTGGTAGGGCAAATACGGGATATATGTATTGCTGCTACACACTGTGACAAAGTTCCTGCTCTACCTTGGTGGGTCTTGCGCTTATTGGAGGATTTGCTTGCCTTGGAGCTTCACTGCAGCCCTCAGCTTGGCTGTTTTTCTGAATTCACAGTCCAGGTTGACTCCTCCTGTGTCTGACGAGGATTTGGGAGGAACCCAGGCCCGCCCTCTACTCCAGGTTCCAGCCGAGGACCATGTGGAACACAGCTGTCTAGAGTGCCTCCTGGAACAGCTGTGCGACAGCTACAACTCCCTGGGCTACTTCCCCGTGGCCTCCTCCCAACACCTTCTTTATCCTCACCATAGGACCTTCCTCCTGGTGTCTGACAATGCTTGTACACCTCAGTCCTACAACAGTCTGCGTTCTCACTCTCAGCTCCTAGTGCCTCTTGCTCCCAGCTCCTCACACGCACACCACAAACTGAAGTGAGCTCCTTTTTAAAACCCAGGTGCCCTGATTACCCTGCCTTAATTGATTCTAGCAGCTTCTTGATTGGCTGCATGTGTTCTAATCAGCCTGTCTTAACTGTCTCCGGAAGGTTCCTGATTGTTCTGGAACCTTCCCTGTTACCTTACCCAGGGAAAAGGGACCTACTTAGCCTGGGGCTAATATATCTGCCTTCTATTACTCTCCTATAGCCATCTGGCCCGACCCTGTCACAACATGTAGTTTCTTTTCTGTGAACAAGAAGGGTCTCCCCCTGCAGTGCTTTCAAACTAACCACCTTTTACAATTACATTATGTAATTATTTAAAGAAAAACGTACACAGTAATGTAGATCGGGTGAGCAGGAGGCATTTCAAATACATAATAATAATTAGTATCTAAATAATAGAGTTTTTCAACACTGTTTACCAAAAGTCAAAACTTCAATTGTGTGTGAAAAATGCAAATAAAATAAAATGGACTACAAAGTGGTTCTTTAAATTCTTACCCTCCAAAGCTGAAATGTTTAAATTTCTTTTCTTAAAATATTTCATGAAAACAAATTACACAGTCTAAAAGGCTGGCATAATCATATGGGGCAACATTTTCAAAATCATCAACGTGACTAACAAACCTAATTCTCATTTAAAAGAGACTTAAAATTTACCAATCAATCAGACTTGGGCTTTCAAGTACTTAAGGCACTTTCAGAAATTTTACCTGTGATCACTAACT